TGTTAATTTATGCTATTTTACAGACGTGAAGTCTGACAGGCTTGAAATATTCACCTATGTCTGAAGCATGAGTAAGGGGTTTTTACAACAGAATCAGGGAAGAAAGTGACACAGCTAACTGCATGTCCATTTTTAGTAGGAAAGAAACACCTGAAAATAAAAAAATAACAACACACACACATACTGCCTATATGAACATTCTAGAATATTGATGTGTAACGTACCACCCATGTACAGGGCAGTCCCAGCCCGAGAAGATAAATGTGAATGATTTTTGATTATCGAGGCTCTTGGAGAATTGTCATCTCTCAGAGCCCAGCGCTGTAATAACTCTGCATTTAACCAGAAGAAAATAAATCTACTTAAAGCTGATTCCTGTTTCCTGAGTGTTACTTCTTGGGGCCTTCAGACAAAAGAACCGGTCAGAATTAAAATGACTTTGCCGGCAAGACTTTCCCTGTGTTTGCAACTTGTGACAACCACAACATATGAATGATGCCTGACATTCTCAGTAGATAGGGGCAATTGTTTAATGAATTATGTAAGTAGATTAAGTAACAATAAACATGCTAAAAACATAAATAAAAGCAGTATTTTAGTGTAACCATTTTTTGCCTTTAAAACATTGTAACTTTTGACAGTCCTGTGGATTTAGTGGATTTTACTGTCTATCTCTGAATGCATTCCCACACTCCATGATGTTGTGGGGACAGTCTTGTTGCAGGACTCCTAGTTCTTGCTGCTGAAAGTAGTTCTTTATGACTGTATGTTTGGCCTTGTTATCATGCTGCAGAATTAATTTAGAACCAGTGACCAATACAGAGTTACAAATAGTGCAAGCATTTGAAAAAGCCCACTGAGAAGGGGCAGTGTCAAGTCTGAAGAACTTGCTCCTAAATACTCGTTATTTTGAAGGCGTCTTTCCTTGTCTTGGTCTTGTTTCGGTTGTTTCTGGATAACTTGACAAGTAATGAGAAATCAACCAAACATCCCGCCCGATCTTCATGGTTGCTATGGGAGAAAGTTTGAAGTCCCGCCCTATGCAAATGTTCCCACCCTTTGACCCAAATTATACAGAATACGATTGGCTGATGTGTATATTGTTTCCATGTTTTGGTGATTTGATTGGATAATCTCATCGCCAGTCAAAATGTATCCTCTGCCCTCTTCCTGCTTGTTAGGTTGTCCTTTCTGTCATGTATATGTATCTGACGCTTTTTCATCACATCTGACAACAACAGAACTTTGTCCTTAAGGGTAGACTTTTGCTTCTCATCGACTGAGCACTGAACATTCTGAGGGTCGATGTCCAAAGACAACCGCCACGATGGACGACGGCGTGGCGCTGGGCAACACCGTCTCGGCCCGAGAGTTAACCAAGGTGGGGACGTTAGGGAGAGGTCTGGTAGCAACAGCTCTGGCTCCTCGCATGGAGGAGGCAAAAACAAGAATGCATCCATAACTGTCCTAAAGGTAAGTCATGAAGTTAATGTAGCAGTAGTTAATTTATCAAAATTCCGATACACTCCTAGCTAACAAATTGGGTCATTGAGAATCATTTCACAGTTCAGTGGGAAAAGAGCGTTTTCCATCTGTGGTTACCTCCCCAGTTCCAGAAATATTTTTCCTTCTACTAGTTGCATTGTAAAAGCACATCCAATGTTGCATTTTTACCAAGGAATGATGGCTTTATGAGTTTTGCTTAAAGATGCTAATGGCTCACAAAATGTATGTGTAACTTAAATTTGTATTGTCATATCACACTTAAAGCAACAGTGTTAGAACACCGAATGTTATAATCTTATAGGCTAACACGAGAGTAACGATGACAGTATAGGATGATAAGGTTATATTGGTCTCTCTGTTTGTCCCAGCTAACAGCTGCTTGCAGACTATAAGGTGTACCCTTTGTAGGCAGACACACCATGTATGTGTTTTGTCCCCCACGAATCATTTAATGCCGAGTCCAATCATATCCAGAGCATCTTTCTTTGTGGTTAATGCACAGCCAGGCTTTCGTGATGACACGCACTGCCTCTGAGCCTGCAGCTATCCTGTCATCACTGGCAGCACAGAATGGAGGGCAGAGCGGCAGGCCTGTTGTGTGCACATGACTGAGCACTGTTGTCACTGAAGGAGAGCAAGAGATGAGAAATAGAGAGAGAGAGAGAGAGAGTAGGGGCTCTGATGCAGAGGAGAGAAGCTGCAAATATAGGAAGCTGCAGAAGAGAGAGGTTGGCAGGCAGACAGCAGCAGGCAGTGATTCGGGCCTAAGAGGTGGCTGGTAACTCAGCAGAACGTTGAGGGCTCAGGATAGATTACAAACAGAATTGTCAAGTGAAAGGCAGGACTGGTGGGCCACTGGGAGAGGTGTTGCCACAGCTGGGCCAGTTGTAGCAGTGTGGACTACATAGTGGGAGTCTATTTTGGTCCGGCTGTCAGATGATGATGTCACCTTGCACAAGTGGCAGTGCTGGTGAGGGGGAACAGGTTGCCTGAATTGTGCTGCAAAAGTATGTCAGGGGTGGATAAGGACGAGGAACCTGCTTACAGACTGTACTTCTATTCTGTATGTATCCACTAAGCTTTTGATTTTCCCTGTTTCTTTCCTAATGAGCTGTCTTTCTTCTCGCTGCTTGTAGCTCTTGCTAAAGGGAAACCTTACACTTGCCCTTACTCAGCACAGTCTAGAAAATAAACACACTCTGGTGCATAGGGAAGGATTGCCTGGCTGGAGAATACATCAGAGGTTATGCTCCACAATGTCTATTCTTCTACAGTGCAGAACAGGAGATTAAGTGGATTACAAGACTGTTACTGTAAGCCTTTTTTGCCTCAGGCTAATGCACATACAGTAGTTAACCATCTTTTGTGAGTATGTAAGGTATTTTCAAACCACTCCTCTTTCATCCAGTAGCTGCCAAACCCAGGAAACACACAGTAAATATTTACACTCTGTAAATGGGAAATGGTGCATTGATGCTGACTTAACTCACAAGTTATTGGTCATTTTGGCAGGGCCTGCCTTATTTGATGTTCTTTGTTGCCTGTTTTGAAAGCACAGGCCACTTGACATGTAAAGACAAAAGTAGGTCAGCTGGATATCAAACCAATACATGCATGCAGTTCCTGCATGTGTAAAACCTAATGAGCCATGTTCACTTTATCCTGTTGGTGTTGAAGGATAGTCTGAATCTGATTGTTACATGGACCTTGTACATAAACATATGACTAATTATCTTTTGCTTCATCAAAGCCTTGGCCATAGAGTTGTGTGTCACTGGGGAATAATTTTGCTGTAGCTTTCATGTCTGAGTAGCGGAGCTAGTGAGAGATAACAAGGAAAAGAGAGAACAGTTTGTTCCATGACTCATTTGCTATTAAGGGGAGAACTGGCACTTGATTCTTGTGTTGGTTTCAGGTAACAATGTATTTAAAATCTGAAACTGTGTCTTGTAGTTGTTCAATCAAAATAGCAAAGTTGAGCCTGGATTTTTGCCGGTATTAGAATAATTTATGAGCATCACAGAAGTGGTATAGGCTGTTCAGCTGGGGGAGAGAACAGTGAGCAGAGGATCCAGAATGATAAGCCCCTGGTTATTTGCTTCTGTGTTGTTTTGTAACCAGATTGCCAGAAGGCAGAATATTTAGTGATGCAGGATTACAAAGGCAGATGATACCAAGTAGATCACCAAGTACATCATGTATTTTATTGTCTAGCAGCCATTTGACCAAACTGCTATGTGACAATGTTTCTCTGTCAGATGGGGATGCAGAAAGATGTTCCTGTTATGTCTCGTCAAAGGGCATCTTCATGTCCCGTATTTAAAGGATGTGATGAATGACTTCTCACAACATTCACAGTGTCTGCTTCACCCGAGGTTACAGTCAAGTTCACCGATGCATGTTCAATGTGTAGGTCAACCATGATCCATGCTGGGCACAAAGTGGGCTTTAGAGCTTCTGCCTCTTGCTGTTTCTTGTCACAGTCTGTGCCAGCAGACCCTTTACATACAGTCATGGACTAAAATATTGGCACCCCTGCATTTCTGTCAGATAATGAACCACTTCTTCCAGAAAATGTTACCCTTGTTTATTTCCTTTGTTTGTACTGGAACAACACAAAACAGCTGAGAAAAAAGCCAAATCTCATGACATTCCACATAGAACTGCAAAAATGGACTAGAGAAAATTATTAACACCTTTTGAAAATCATTAGAAATTAAAAGTTTTTTGGGAGAAGTGAGTCGTTATCTGACAGAAATGCAGGGGTGCCAAGATTTTTGGCCGTGACTGTATGTTGAATGTTTGCAGTTTTTTGGTTTCAACCCCAAACCAGGAATGAGACAAATAGTTGAAACTACAAATTGAAATATGCTCTGTTATGGTTTCAAATATTGTTTTTCATTAGACTGAAGGATTGTTGATCTTAATATAGTCATTTTTAATAGGAATTGGTCTTTTTCATTGATGTAGTTCATTTAAACTGCGGTTTAATTTAGTTAATTTTCTGTTAAGCTTGTTTTGTACATATTGAAAAGATGTGAGCTGCTGTGAATCACAAGACAGGTGTATTTTCCCTGTACTGTAAATATTTAACTCTAGTAATGCTAGTAATGTCTGTTTTAGATTTGATACCTATGTTGTAACTATATATATATGTATATATATGT